GACAGTGTAAGGCTATATATAGTAAGAATAATACAAGGAAAGATACTTTTGGAATTTGGTTGGTCTGTTCTACCCAACCCACCAGATTGACCTGACCTTGTACCAACTAATTAACTTTTTTTGGTCGCTGGAAAATGCTTTGAAGAGGAAAACTTTCTATAATGAAAACCAGATTCAAGAATTTGAGAACTTTTTCACATCAAACTTTCAGAATTTTATACAAAAGCTATCAAATGCCTGATAAGTGGCAACAAATTATTCTCAATAATGATGAATCTATAATTGAATAAAATTTAATTGTACTTGATTTTTTTTTTAAAGAATAAATTTGATAATAAAAAAAAAAATTATTTATGACTTGACTTAATATATGAATATTTGTTTTTTTTTCTGCTTGTCTAAAAAGTTGGAAATATCAAAGATTTTTCATCAAATCCAAAATATGCACTTTCTGAGGTATTTAGTTTGGGGAGGAGGAGGGACATCATTTTTCTTTAGATCATTGGTTCCAAAACAGTGCAGCATACCTCACAGGTGAGAGGCCGAATGATTGAAAATAAAAATAAAAAAAAAAACAAAGATCTAGAAACAGTTTCAAAAAATTCATATGCTAAACATAAATATGATTTCAAAATTTAAAATATTATTATGGATTACTTGTAATTGCGTGCATGAAACCGGTATAAATAGTTATAAATAATTATTGACCAATTTTATTATTATGATATATTTTAATTATATCAAGTATTAAGAATATAATAACTAGGCTCTGCAAATTGGAGGAGAGAGTTATCAATGATAATGTTCTGACTTTGAATCTGAAATTATAATCTCTATTTTTTTATTTTTAAATGTACATTTTATCACATAAAATTTGGTGAGGTGTGAGCAAATTTTCATTCTGAAAAAAAAGTTTGGGAATCACTGATTTAGATGTTTGCCAGGGAAAAATTAAGCATGACATTTCAGTAAATATGGACTGCAAAAAAAAAAAATAAAATAAAAAATGATTTCTCCATTGATGCAGCTATTATTTTAACCATGTTCACTCCCTCTGCAATGTTTATTTACAAGATTATAAAAAATTATTTACCTTTTATAAAGATTTATTATTTACTATTTTATAAAGAAATAAATATGAAAAGTCATTTTTTTTTTAAAATTAGCAATGACTTAAAACTTTTTTCAAAATAATGTTTTTCAAAAATAACTAGGAAGAGAGATAACCTAAAATTTCAAGATCACAATTAAAAATAATTAGGAAATTAAAACAAGTAATCTGAGAAAAATGTATTAAGTCCAGAAAACCAAATGTTTTACTCAAATTTTGTTTTATAATTCAATCAGTTATGTGCCATGTGTGATACACACTTAGGCAATCATGTATCTTTTGATATATGACTGACGAGGCAGATTCCCAAAGTAGGTTGCCATTTCTTTTTGCGGTAGACCAGTTGCCATCCAAGGCTATAGAACCCAGTCTGTCCTACTATTTACCCATAGCTGAAGGGAGAAGAGGAGGATCCATACCTTTCCAAAAGTGAATGTAATGAATTCGACTGGAATTCGAACTCAGCTCTCTGATTCCTCAATCTGAGCCACTATCTATTACTCCATTGTTCAAACTCCAGTCGAATCCATTACATTCACTAACAGGCTAATATCTTTTGTGAAAAGTATGAATCATGTTCTTCTCCCCCCAGCTATGGGTAAATAGCAGGACAGGCTAGGCTCTATAGCCTTGGATGGCAACTGGTCTACCACAGAAAGAAATGGCAACTTACTGCAAGAAAAAAACTGCCTCGTCAGTCATGCATGGCACATAACTGACTTTATAATTCATTGATATAAAATTACGAATAAAAAAATTCTCATAGTTATTTATAAAATAGTAAATAACAAATACTGCATTGTAGAGGGTTTACATATTTTGATAATTTTGATTTTTTTTTTTTTTTTAAATTTTGAATATGATTTCTTTTTACATTTATTTCTGTATCAAATGGTGAACAAATTTTTATAAAAGATAAATAATTATTTATAATCATGGAAACAAACATTGCCAAGCAAGTAAAAATAATAATAGTGGTATCAATAGAAAAAAAACTGCCTTTATGAAACACCATTTTTTGTGGGCACAAAGATCCATGTTTGCTGACATTTCCATATATAATGTATGTTTTCAATGTCACTTGGGTAAAAAAAAAAACAAAAAAAAAACAAAAAAAATGGCAAAGACAGCAGTTAGTAGACAATTGTAAAGAATTAAGTGCTACATTTTACAAAAGATTATTTTCATCTTTTCTTTAACTATTTTTCCCTTGCACAAGTGTGCAATGCTGCACTCCTCTCACATGTAAGCACTTTCACAAGCACAAGATTTTGTATGTGGTTTTTCTGAATATGTTAAACAGGAGTTTGGTTTTTGTTAGAAAAACGAGAAGGAAAAATTAATGACTTCTGCAGAGAACTGGATGCAACACAGAGATGAGAAAGGCTTAAAAAATGTATCAGTTGAAATATTGTGTTAAAAGCAACAAAGACGAAGACATTAGTGCAAAAATTTTAAGAATAACAAATACTCCAGCTTAGGATTTCAGAAAACATGTAACGAGTCTAAAAGAAAATAATCAATCCTACATTTGAGAAAAAAATGGACAAGGTTTCTATGTTCATCTTAATTTGGTATTTGAAAAAAATAATAAAAACTAAACTGCAAATACAAAGGTTTGGGTTTTCATTAATAACAGGTTATCTTTTTTTTTTCTTTTTTTTTTTTTTGTATCTTCTCTTTATTTACTTATATTTTTTATTTATTTATTTTTTTTTTTTTAAACACTAATCATCATTTGGAAAAGAAAAAAAAAGAAAAAAAAGCCCAAGGCACCATATATGCCTTGACCCCCTTCCCCTTTTAGTGCAATGAGAAGGTGCATCTTTGGGCAACATATCCCCAACACCTAGACTGTTGTTTACTTCAAGGGTCAAAGGCCAAAAACTGTTGATTAATTTAAAATAAATAGTGAACAAAAAAGGCGGCAATGTGGAAAAGAGTTCACCCACATTTCTTGGGCAACTCTTGTTTGTGCAAACCTGTGTTGCTCAGGCAAATTGCACAAGCAGGAAAAACTGGTGAGGGTGGTCAAAAATGGGTAGGAGTGATGGAGGCAAGAGGGGGAAAAAGTGAAGCATGCATGGAATTGGAGAGAACAGAGGAGAAACAGTTTTGTAGACATTCATGCATAACAGACAGAAAAGCAAATGGTCATGGCATCTCGTCAGAGAAATGTTGGTTGCATGCTTAATGAAACTTCAGAGCCAAGAATTTTTTTTTTTTGTTTCTTTTAAAAGATAAAAATCAAAGTAAGAAGAAAACAAAAATAAGATTTTACAAGCAGAGAAAAAGAATTTATTTTTTTTACAATTCTTCATGCAAGGTTAAAATAACTGGGATTATTTATTTCAATTTCTTTGTGTTGGTTGGGGGAGCAATGTTTATTTTTAATACCCATCAATATTGGAAAGAGCAAAAACAATTACTGGGCTTGAGAAACCTATTTTCCTCAAAAATTGTTT